CACTTAAACAGTATTTAACTTCTCCTAAAACACGGAAGATTACTTCCAGTGCAAAACTTGGCTTTATACATGTTCATCTTTCAATGACGCAACGAAAATGCGGGATATAAATTTACTTTCTGAGAGATTTAGCGAGAGTGTGATAGAGCAATAAATCTGCAACTCCCAAGCCTAAACAAAGTGCTTGGAAAGATGTATTGAAGCGATTCGACGGCTTATTGAAAGTATATTACAGTCCTCTCAGCTTTTAGAGGTTACTTGTGAGTTAGCTGGAAGCTGTCTTATTTCGTATATATAAGTACTACTTATAGAAAGATACTATCTCTCCTTTATAGATCTACCCAAGAGAACTATACAGCATACTGACGAAATTTTTTGTCTTTTACTTAACAAGTGTATATTGTAAACTGTGTCTCATGCAGTTGTCATTATTTCTAGTAATTGTAATTGTTCTGATAAGCCAATACAGTGATATTAGTTTCTACTTATTCACCTGCATATGTACCTTAGATTTACCATTATTGTACAAAATCCCTATAGTACATAAAGTCATTTGTTCTTAGAAAGGGCTTACAGAACAAACTAAGTAGTGTTTTACGTGAGACTGTGCATTCATTAAACTAACAACGTTCAACTGAAGCCGGAATGTCAAAATATTATTAAACTAATCTAAACTTACGTATTTTTGGGGTAAAAATAAAGCAGATTAATCAGAAGTAGAAAATGGATACAGTGTTCTCGTTCAACTTCAGAAGCGCAAACTTTTCCAAATTGATTACAATTCCAATACCACCCTTTCGCTGTTTGCTATAAAACATTGGCTGTGGAATAAAACCCTTGAACATTGAGTTTTTCGTAGCCACAGTCTGTCATTTAAGCTGTGGTAAACTGAAACCAACATAGATATTTTAGATAATGTTATTTTATTGAAATGCCGGTGGTTAAAGTATTAGGACGAAGTTCATTTTATAGATTCGCAATAAAAATATTTAAATCTATATACTGGCGTACTGATGAGTTATATAAAAAAAAATAATTTGGTTGACTGTGAGCCACTAAACTGTCTTTTATTTCCAAGAGCCCAACTTAAATAATTTCATGATTCTTAAGTTTTCTGGACCTTTCGATTACAACCCAGATGTCATTTGACTTTGGACTACAAATTAATGATGCTATCCAACAAAAGGCCTACGTAGGCTAGTAACAGCATATTGGTTTGGACATTATTTCTCCAGAGAAATCGTTAGGCTAACGGCTTTGACACAAAAATAATGTGAAATTCCCATTAACGTAAAAGTTTTACGTGTTAATTATATAACATTGACAAATATGTATTGTGCGTTCAGATTTTTTGTTACTCCACAATAGTGTATCCATCTATAATATTAAAACGTGACAGGGTTTTTTTATTTAACGATTCTAAATCAACCACTTGACGGATTTTCATGATTTTTGTGTTGCAAGAAAGATGATTTTGAGAACTAGGGAATGTTGAAGCCATAACTTTAGTTTTGGGTTTCAGTAAAAAAAAATTAGTTTAAAATTTTAAAAAGTCTAGCAGCCGACGTTAAAATTCTACTCTAGCTTTTTGTATAATACCATTTGCTTAACGTAACAGCTGTAAACATTCAGCGTTTTCGACACAAATTCAGCATTTTGATGAAAATGAAATCACATACGTAGAATTGACTTATTTATACTATGTGTAATGCTAATATCATCGATACGTTCATTTATTCGGTAAGAAGGATGAGAGTTTATTTAAAGATACATTGTAAAATACTAGATGTTGTAACTTATTTTTGAGCAGTCTTTAAAATATTTAGTTTGTTTTAGTGCAGTATAATTTGTTATAACTAACAGCTGGTTGAATACAAAAAAAATTCTATAGAACTATGAGGTTAGTTTATTTACTCTGTGATTTTGTCATTGATTACAGGAAATAAGTAAGATTCTATAACAATTGTTGTATACGAATAGAAGCTCACGAATCTTCAAAAGAAAGCTTATGCAAATTATTTTACTAATCGACTTTTTGAGTAAAGGTTGGGGATATAACAATGAAAACATGTTTTAATTTATCTTGGAAGCTTTTTCTTTACTATAAATTGTGAACTGCTTAAACTATACTTGAATTAGTAATACACACGCTACAGTTTTAATGGACTACTGTATTCCCGTATGTAGGACGGGCCAACAGCTCGTTTTGTATAAAAATCTAAATCTTTTCATATATTTACACCTCTCTTTATTTATACTGACTATATAGTCTCATAAGTAGTGGTCAATAACGATCCAAAGTTGCTGCTCATCTTTTACTTTCTCCTATTTTTTAAAATTCTTTTTGTATCAAAATAGGAGGTAAAATGACAATATGTTGCAATAAACTGTGCAAATGAGACATTTAAGTCCTAATTTAAGTATGGAGTTCTGGGACTTCTATCGAAGGCCAGGTCTAAATACTGCTACTATTACAGCATAGCAGCCCTGAATAAACCTTCATCAAATCATTTGTATAGTACAAGATAAAATCTCACCTAAAAGGAATTGTATTTTGCAAGTGATTCCTCGCTATAATAAATAATTTTAAATATTTATATTTTATAAATATATTATATATATAATTTGTAAAACTTGATGTTAAGCCTACTTCTATATCTATATACTTCTTATATACTTCCTATATACTTTCTATAATCGATGCGGTTATATTAATTTTATTTTAATTTTTGACGTTGTTAATATATTAACTTAGTATGAATAACATCTACTAAAATTGAAGTCTGACTTAATCAATGTAGTAGAACTGTGAGGAAGTAAGTATCCAGGAACAATACCCAACAAAGACTAATACTTTCAAATCCTAGATGACGACAATTCAATTAAAGGGGTGTTAGAGACGGCTTTTGTACTTAAGTAGAATGCAGCTTTGTACTAAAGAAGGGAGGATTTCGGCCCTATTTCAGTATAATAGAGAATAGATTAAAAACTCCAACAATAAGATTGCTGTAATCCTGTTCTCTTTCGTAGTATGTAATATGATGAAAGACATGGTTCTGAATATAAATTTAGTTTGCTACTATCGAAGGAGGCTCTTCGACCTAAACTGACCATTTATGCTTATGTTTTTACATCTTCTCGTCTTAGTTTTTGACACAGATTACAAAGGACAAATGTGTTCTAAATAATGTAGAAAGTATGGTTTTCGGATCAGTTTTAGCTCAACCACTTATTAAATGATAAATATGTTATATGGTGTGATTTTTCTGTGAAATTTAAAACTCTTTTACATATTTTTATTGATAATGAATATTACATAATTGACCTTATTAAGTACATGATAAGATTTTTTTTTGAAAATGACAGAAGACTAGAGAAAAATCTTTCTGCCAAAAACCGTCTGCCAAAAATAGTGAAACTATGTCGCGACGTCATAGTAGATTTTTGTAACAAAATCGATTTCTTGAGGTCGACATTTTACTTAAACATTACCAATTCAGGAATTTATATTAATTAAATAGATAGGTTTATATGTATAAAATATATATTTGGTAACTTAAAATTGCAAACTATTAAATTAATTTTTTTTTTTTTTTAGATAATATTACGTGTTAGTTTACTTTACATTTTTATCGGAGTGATTGGGACAAAATAAAGGTTCATGAAATAAATTTACTTTTATAAAATTATATTAGTAGACACAGAAATGCATATTATACCTAAACTTAATATAGTCAGTGCAACACCATTAGTGTCCAATATTTGTAATGTGTAACCTAATAAAATATATTTGTTTGTATTCTCTATTAATTCCTTTATCTTTTAAAATAATCGTATGGTTAACTTATTTATTCAGTTGTTTTTAAACATTAAGATGAAGAGAAACATTGCAGCAAACTGTTTTACAAAGGCAAACTTTAGTAAATTGAAAAATAATCAAAGAAGTTAGAAGTAAAAAAATTAAGTATAAGCTATATCTATTTTCATGTAATACTTAGTAAGAATAAATGCCATCCGAGCAATTGTTTTAGAGTTTGACCCTAAGCAATTTAACTGATTCGAATACAATTAGAGTTTACGAAACTAGTTAAACTCAATTAGTATCCGTTTAAAGTTGTGTTTGAAAATAAATCATGCGGTGAAAATTTCATTTTACTTTTAAAATCTAAATAATAATGGCGAAAAGGATAAAGTTAATAGTCCTTATTTACATATCAATGTTAGTTTAACCAGAAGTACTATATAATACAATCAGTTTTCTATTTTTCTTAACAAAATTAACCTAAACTCATTTAAACTAACAAAAAGATTTACTGTTAAAGTTCTATTACACTGTATGTTTTCAATATTTTTTATCAAAGACCTCGAAAGTCGAAAAACAAGATCAGTATTTGCAGATATATTCTCACAAATACATTATTTGCGATTGTCGATGTAATAATTTTGCAACAATTTATAAGTTAACATAAAATACTTTACTGATTATCTCAAACACTGAACGTGCAAAATATTACTTCCATTAATTATTTGTCAAAACTAAATGCAATGAGATGCATTAATTAAGTAGTATTCTACGTTGTCATAGGTAAATGGTTCCCATGAACGTGGTTTGCTTTGTAATGAAAAGTATTCTTTAGCGTGAAAAGTATTCGAAAATGCCAACTTATTCAATTTATATGCCAACGAAACCTACATTTTAAAACCATACATTAATCAAACATACTATTCATACTACTTCTTAACGGTAATCATACAAGCTAAAAAAATTTAGTTGGCTAAATGTTAAATGCTAAAACCATGAATAAGTATGGTACAAAAATATTTTACTCATTTCACATAATCAGTAAACTTAGTCATTGTAATGTATTTTCCAATGCCATGTATTATTTTGTAATTTTGGAATAAAGAATTTATGAGTTCTGACATATGTACATAAAGTGATAAACAAATTTAAACTCATCACAATGTTGTAATAAAAAATGTTGTATGACAAACCCTACCTAGATAGGTGCTGTTAGTCAACACCCAAAGTACTTTCAGCGGGTCCACCATGAGTAAATTCACTAGTTATTCGCACATTGATAACTACGACGCGTCACCTCGGTCCGTCATGATGTGCGTTCAAAGACCGCCAAAGTCAAACTGAGGCGCTCCCATCGTGGCGCAGGCGTCTTGACAGGGTGTTAGGGGTGATAATGTATATGGGGCGATTCCATCATGATAAGTAATTTTTGTAAAGTGCTAGTATTTTTAACACTTGTCACTTTTATTAAACGTATTTTATAATTTGATGCAATCTAAATTTAAGTTTCTGTGAAGATATAATTGACTTTCAAATGTATTTGAAGTGATGAGGCGCTATCTTGCAAATTTGAACATACAATTCCCTATAATTTGCCCCATGTATGGATAAGACCAGTATAAGAGAGCTGGGGAATCAATAATATTCAAAGTGGTGTTACTATTAAAATATTACTTATCATAAAATGCAAAATATATCTTACCTATCACGCTTATTTAGCGTGGTTAAATGCAAACTGATTGTATGTAAAGGGTTAAATGATAATTTCAATTGAGGTTTTTGTTACACTGTTAACCTTTAAAGGTTTCATGTGAGAGTAAACAATATGTTAGAAACTGTCCAAAGTAAAAAGATCAGTAATTTCCAATCACCTATGTGTTTGGGCAAATTGTGTTGGGTAAAAGCAAAGCGAATATTTTTGACACCTACCACCTATAATTAGTCTTCCAGACAGGGGGCGTCTCAACTTGAACGTTCCTTTTACAATATAATTTTAATTTGAATGTTTCCAAGTTATATGGTTATAACTATTTTTCAAACTATATTATCCGGGAACCTGAATTTCCGATGCTCATAAATGTCTTAGAGCACAGATAATATTACCCCTAGGGGTTATATTATCTGTGCTTGGAGGCATTTATAGAGATTGAGGCGTGACGATGCTTATAATATTGAGTTATATGCGTTATATAATAGTAATGTGTAATATTACGTTTCTATTATGTTGTTTACTGTTGAGTCATTCTACTCCTTATTATTATAAAAGAAAATCAATTATAAATAAGTCATTTCACCACTAAATTATAAATTCAACAACAACCTGGCAATCAAAAGGTAAACAACATAATGCATTATTTGTTCTTGAATCTGGGAATACCACATAAATTTCTATTATGATATTTAATTGTAATAAAATGAGATTATTTATGTGACTTATTGCCCAAATTTAGTTGACGTTGATTATTTTGCTAGTTTTTTTGCTACTTTGCAATTGTTTTAGTTAATTTTGATTATTTTGATGAGGATTTTGTAACAAACAATAGGACTGTAATTTTGCCTAAGAATGTCAGTGTTTCAATTACCAATATTTTATGGCAATCGATATCATAATTTACTGCAATATTTGTTTACGTTGTACAATACGAATAAGTTATAAGTTAAAACATTTTATATTCCATAAACGTTTCACTATTAAGATTCTCTCAAGGATTTTAAGTTTGACAAAACAAGAATCGCTAAAAGTTTCAGAGACTCAAATGCACCTCATGAATCCTGCGTTGTCTACTTTCAACTTTGAATGTTTTACTGCAACCCTAAAAATCCAACCACTTCAATTAATGACCAAAAGACAACATACCTTATACGTTTACTTAAAGTAACATTATAGTTTTGTAAAAAAAATAAAAATGCAGACTTTAAATAGAACTGTAATAATTAATGACATTTTTAGAAGTTAAATCCCAAAATGTAATCCATCGGTTATTTTCAAATTTTTAAGATCGGCATGCTGTTCATGTTTTCAAATATAAATGGAATATTTAATTTTTATATCATTTTTTTAAATAAAAAAATTATTAGACTTGTTACATTTTTATTTCATTTTTTTATTACATTTTTTCAAATTAAATGTAATATTCAAATTTATTAATAATCAGGGAGGGTTAGAGGAAGGTATTATAAAAGGAATTATTCAAATTATGATTGTTATTTTGAAATTAGATTGAGTATTCTCGCAGCGTCAGTACCATTTTAATCCGCTACCTGACGGTAATTTCAATGCGAACTGTTTAATGACATTGACATTCGCGATGAATGTTAATTTTCACTTTTATAAAACCTCCGCTATTTCAGCAATGCATATTTATTAAATTACCACTTTTTCAGATTGAAAAAATGTGTATTGTCCAAGAAATGCAATATTACTTCATGAACGAAATAGTTTGATAGTATAAAACGTGCAATACGTAGCTCAATCTGCAGTTTATGCTCAAGTAACTCAATTTGTCTTTACTATACTAGTTGTCTTATCATTAGAAAGACTAACGAGCAGGTGGCTGGTTAAGAATTAGTGAACATTGATTCGGTTCCTGAGTTGTCGGGTTCAAATCCCACCAATTACTAATGGTTCTAGCTATGTTATGTTATAGTTCCATGACCTACTAGGTTGAAGTGGGTCTAGACAGAAAGAGCTGAACGGATACATTAAGTAATCGGAAGGAGGAAGAAAGCTAGAAGACAATAAAAATCATTCATGAAATCAAAATTATCCTAAATGTTAAATACAGATTTCACTCTTACTTAACCTAACTAAACGAGTACGGTATAGAAATTAAATCAGGATGTCGTTTTTGCTGTATGTATTTCATCAATACCTTACATAGATCCCCATTTAAGTTACCAAGCAATAGTGTGTGCCAAGTCTTACGTGTGCTAAAAGTTATGTGTGCCTAAAACATAAACATGTGAAGGTAAACGTACATGAACATAAATGTATAAAGGTTCTATGCGAAATATACTTACTGGTATCGAAGATTTTCTTAAATTTTCAGAATATCTGAAACAAAAAGGAATATACATTTTAACTAGGTTGTTAGAGAAAGGATTTAACTGTGTTTGTGACCTGATGAGTTGATAGAAAAATAACTTGAATCAGCACCCTGGATTAAAAGTATAAACTTTATTAAATAAAAACATTTATTTGCAAACTTTATTGACATTATTGCCTTATAAGGGGTGTCTTAGGGGTGTCTTTGTGTTGAACCCCAACAAAATTGCAACACGAGCAATTTTTTTTTTAAATGATAGCTAAGAGTGCCCTTAATAAGCCCTCAAAAATCGCCATGAATCGTACCTTGGCAACATGCCCTAAAATTCAAAATGGCCACCAAGATGGCTGCCAAATTATATATTTTGGCATATATCTCGAGAACGGTTAGTTTGATCAAAAACGTTAATTTAGCAAATATGTAGCTCTTTTCATGCCGATCAGTTTTTATACGTGCATTTTGTCTGTCAGACGTATGGTATGACCGCAATTTCAAGAGCCGTACTTCATTATAATCTGCCTTTTTCACAAAAATTCAGAATTTTCATTTTTTGATGACTTAATGTTAGAAAATACAAATTGTACCTCAAAATAATTTAAAAGTTGTTTGCCATGTGGTTTCCTACTTATTTTTAGTTTTTACAGTCACTTTCTTTCCTTTAGTGCTACAGAGTCGCTGACAGCTTCTTATTTTACTTATCTATTGGTGTAATATTACAACAAATTACAACTTGCTATTCAGAAGTGACAAACGACTTTCAGATCATGTTTATAACATTAAAAAAAAATTAGATCCTCACTTGGAAAAGATTTAGCTAAATCTCTATTAGCTCTGCACGCCAATACAGGGTGCGACACTACTTCGAGGATTTTTCACATCGGAAAACTATCTGTATTCGACAGAACATTAGAAGACGAGTATTTTCAGGGTCTGCTGTCATCTTTCAGCTCACAAAATCTGAGTCCAGATCAAGTTGAAGAAATCGGTCTGAAACTAATGGTTAGTCTGTTCAATGGGAATAAGAACGAATCAATGAACACATGTAGATACAAAAGTTTTTTGTCAAAATTAAAAAAAGCTAAAAGCTTTGTAAAGCCTCAGCCACTTCCTTCAACAGAGTCAGCAGTAAAGTTTCACAGTCTGCGTGCCTATTTACAAATTTAAATATGGAAAAGGGCAGAAGATAGTATGATAACTACTGGGGATGGACTTTGCAGGACAACATGTAAGTGCCTCAAACGATGGATTTGCCAGCAGCACCAGAGACATTGTTAAAAATGATTAGATGCAATTGCAAGACTCCTTGTAATTCAATGAGATGTGTGTGTAAAAAAATGGATTCAACTGCACTATTTCCTGTGGTCATTGTTTAGAAAACAATAGTGAAAACAGTCTCTAGTTTTTTATTGGACAAAGAAAAAGACGATGAGAATAGTATTTTTGAAAATGTTGACTAAACTTTTAAATCATTTGGCCAAATTATGTTAACACTATGGTAAAACTACGTTTATATGTTCATGTTGTACATGTTGTATATAGGGATCTTTTTATTTTGTAGTATTGAATAAAATTGTATGATTTAAATAACATATATTTTTTTATTACATATTCATATCCTGGCTTCTTACTTATCCCTTAAAATGGGAGATTATTTAAATCATGCAAAAAAAATTTTCATAATCATAAAATCCCAAGTAAAACTGAAAATAAGTAGGAAACCACATAGCAAACAACTTTTAAATTATTTTGACGTACAATTTGTATTTTCTAACATTAAGTCATAAAAAAATGAAAATTTTGAATTTTTTTGAAAAAGGCAGATTTTAATGAAGTACGGCTCTTCAAATTGCGGCCATACCATACGTCTGACAGACAAAATGCTTATATAAAAACTGATTGGCATTAAAAGAGCCACATATTTGCTAAAAATAACGTTTTTGATAAAACTAACCGTTTTCGAGATATATGCCAAAATACATATTTTGGTATCCCTCTTGGCGGCCATTTTGAATTTTTGGGCTTGTTGCCAAGGTAAGATTGATGGCGATTTTTGAGGGTTTATTAAAGACACTCATAGCTATCACTACCAAAAAAATTGCTTGTGTTGCAATTTTGTTGGGGTTAGGTCAAATTTTCTCATAAAATGATTCCACTATAGATATTATTTTACTCATCGGTTTTAAAAGAATACGACATAAGTTTTATTGAACATCCGTTTTAAACAATCACAGTTTTATTTTTACTAAACGCATAA